AGTCATTTCTTATTCATTTATGCACGTAGACGTCATAACGTCAAATCGATTAAGTTCTTTTTACCATTTCTTAGCGACGTTCGAAAAAGTTCTACAAATTATTTATATTTAAAAATATCTTTTCAATTTAAAAATTCGAGCATTTTGGGAGTAGTGCAAGAATGCTTTGCTTGCATCACACATCCTAGTATCAATTGCAATCGAAAAAAATATTCAATATGGGATTGCATACTCTACTCATAATTCAAATCAAATAAAGATAACTAAACTTAATGACGGTAGCTATTATGGCAATAGTTCAAATTATGGTGCCACCCAGCAGATTATACGAGCCACTACAAAAATAACCAACCAAAATTAAATTTCAAAATAAAATAATACATAATAACTCATAACAAGTAGAATTAAAGGAATAATTATTTACATTATTAAAGGAAATTCTAATTTTTTAAATTGCCTTCCTTTCATGTAATATGCTCTTCTACTCGTACATGTAAAAAATTTAAAAGTAGAAATATATGTGTAAGTTATACTAGTTTGGTAACTATATTTAGTACAAAAATTCTTATTTAAAGTAATATAATATTATGTTACAAGAAAAAAAAATTATATTACTTGAGGCGAAAATAGAAATATCTAATTTTCCTTGTCGATTTAATGCTGGTATCTTATCAAATGATCCTTATAAAAATTTATTTTCATTTTGTTTATATATTTGTTTTTGTTTTCTTTTTTTTTTTAATATTTCTCGTTTTTGTTTTCTGATTTGTGTCTGTTTTCCACATTATTTTTTTTCCAAGATTTTCGTCGAATTTCATTACAAATGTATATGGACGAGAGAAAGCAAAAAATTATGTAAAAGGAAAAAATGTGCTACGTTTAGAATATAATTGCCATCATATTTTTTTTTTCCAATTTTTTTTTTTACATATTTTTTATACTCTCATATTCTATTTTTCATATTTGTCATTTCTCATTCATTTGATTGGGACAAAAAGAATAATATCCTGTCATAGTGATATTGATTTAGTTCTTAGAAAAGGATTCATGTTATATAGAGAAGACAAACAAGTAACAATAATTGTGATAAAATTCTAAGAAGAGAAGATCAATAAAATGGTGAATATAAATAAGAGAGAAAAAATGCTATAAGTATATAATATGATTTATACGAGTATATGTGTAAGTACTTTATATACGTGTTCTATTTTGTTTACATATTCTTGTTAGTTTTAATTTTGTTTCTCTTTTTCTATTTCTTTGTTTTTATTATTTATTTTTGTGTTATTTTAGTACTCGTATAAGGATAACATTTTGAATAAATTTCATCTTTAAAAATACTTTAAGAGTATAACAAAACTTAAATTTTGTCTAAATAAATTTAATAATTTAAAATTTGTCTAAATAAATTTTTAAAATTCGGTGTAAAATACACAAAAAATATGAAAAATTTGTTAAAATTTGAATGCAGAAAATTAATTTAAATTTTTTTTTTTAATTTAAACATTTTTGAAGAATTGTCATAATTAAAATTTAATATCAATCTAACACAAAATTCGATGCCGAATTCGACACTAAGCTTTCTGAAAATTTTTAGTTTTAGTACAATTGACTAAGTTTCAGTAAAAAATTCTTATAATTGTATTTAATATTATTATACTTATAGTAATTTTGAATTTTATGCTTTTTGTTTCTTCAGCTGAGTTGAAATTTTTAATATTAAAGCATTATTAATTAACCAAAAATTTATGTTTAGTGTAAAATTTTTTAGAGTTTACACGGTTAATGTAAATTGAATATATCATTAGTACGATATTAATATCTATGCGATTACTATAGGAGGTTTAGGTATCTTTAAATTATAATGACGCAAGTGTTAATTTGCACATTATTTTAAGGATTGTGTCTACTTCGAGATCAATTAAATAAATGTATATATATCTACATTTTCCTTACAAACTTATGTGCATAGAAAAATTTTCAGAGTGAGTGTATTTTAAATGCTTGTAATATATTTTGTTATTTATATTCCATAATATACGTTTATGTATATATTTTTTGACCAGAAGCCGTTGTCACAGAATCTAAAATATTATAAATCACAGTTGTATTTTTTTTATTTTTTAATGTCTGCAATACTTACATATAAGCCATTTTGAAACATTCAATAAATTCTGCTTTTGTTCAAATCACACATGAATTTAAAACAAGTAAAAACGTTTCAGTCGGTATAAACCGATTGAATTATACCCTGCACCTTTCGTTGTTGTATAGCAATTACTCGAACCTCATTCTATAGAAATCATTCTATAGAAATTTCACGGATATGTCTGACCTATAATCCGACTGCCAAGTTTCATGAATCTGATTTTATAATTTTTCCAAATATTTAAAATTAGCTTCTGGAGTTGTATTGCAGGTACCCGAACCTGTCAAGCAGTTCCTCTAAAACTTCAGATTTATATAATTGGCCACATGAGTGCCAAGTTTCATGAATCTGACTTTATTATTTTTCCGAATATAAAAAATTTGCAGTTGGAGTTGTATGGCAGCCACCCGAACCGGTGCAGCTATCCCATTATAATTTTTAGGCATGTGTAGAATATAATTGGACACATTTTGTATTTATAGCTTTATTATTTTTCGAATTTAAAATAAACTCTTTGAGTTGCATGGCAGCTTCCAGAACCCTTTATCCAAATTAGTCCAATAACAATAGGGTTTGTTCTTGACACAAAAGAAAAAGCTTGTGAAAGTTTGGTGTCAATTGCATTATTCGTTTTTAAATTATCGTGCGATCGGACGGACGGACGGACGGACATGTATAAATCGATGCAGAATTTTACGCTGAGCAAGAGTATATTATATATATATATATATGTCCATACCGCAGATGACTCCTTCAAGTAGTTACAAACTTCATAACAAAGTTAATATATCCTTTACGAAGTGCAGGGTATAAAAAGTGAAAAAGGAAAAAAAAATGTTTATTTTCTACACTCATTCTAAATATTATATAGAATGAATCCAAGTAGGGATTAAAATATATTTTATTTTTGTTGTATAAAATATAAATTAGATTTATTGAACTATTTTAGTAACGAATGTAGAAACATACTGCTGTTGTAAATTTTTAAATATTTTGGTTTTTTGTTTAAAATGTAAATCGAAATTGCACAAAAGTTTTCGAAATAAAAGTATTGTTTTTCAATATAAAAAGAATCTAATGTGACTAGTACATAACCGACCGCGTTGTTTAAGTGTTGTATAATTTTATGAAAGGTAATAAATAGACTTTTAGTTAATGTATTTAGAAAGCTTTAAATTTGATTCCTAGTATAGGCGTATTTTTGGTTTTCGAATTTCCCTGAAAAATTTCCAAATTAATATCGTTGGCAACGAAATTTGCAATAATAAATTCCGATAAATTTTTTTAAAATATACCTCAAAATTCTATTTCCGATCACCGAAATTCCCCGAAAAAAAAATTAGCGGATCAATGTTTTGACAACCAATAGTTGAAATATTAAATTTCGAGAAAATAATTCGAGATTTCAACGAAAAGTAAGTGACTTCTAGTAGTATTGCAAGATGAAACTTTTATTTAAAACGTGAAAAAAAATCTTTTAATATTTTCATAATAATAATCAAAAATATGAATTCGGGCTATTATGTGCATTAGGAATTGTTGAAATTCCGTGATTCTTCATGTTAACTGTAATACAGCTTTAAAATTTGGCTAGATATCAGAAATTATAGAACCAACCGTATTGAAATTTCGCACAAGCAAATAATTTGTTAGGGTTCTTATATTTAATATAACTAATTGAAATTTTTTGGTAATAACTACCATACAACTTCGAAAGTCATTTGTTCGTCATATTATGGAAACTATTGAAATTACAGATAAAATTTTGCATATAAGAAATATATGTATAAAAGCACTAAACGCATAAAAAGCCAAAAGCATTTCTGAAACAATTGGCAATTAATATATAGCACTTATAATCATTTATTCGCACGGATGTCACAAATTTGACGCGGTCTCATCTCTGCCTATATTTTCGTGTTTTTTTTTAAATAGAAAAATAGAGGATATAATGGACCCCTTGTGAGTAAAGAAGTTTAAAAACATAATGAAAGGCTACAAAAAATTTATAAAATATGCAAGTGTATCAATATGCATGTATATATCACATATTTTGAACATACACTTAAAAAAATATTATGCTATGTAGTTATGTTTATTATATGCAAATAACGTGTATATACAATTTAATAGAATACTATGATTTTTATAATTTTTATTTCAAGACTAGCTAAACTATTCCCATTTTTTATGAAAAATTTATTAGACTATATTTTTATTTAGCAATCGAATTTATGGTTACTTATTGAAAATTAATCTAAAACAAAAAATTGCTTTTTTTTTTAACAAGAAAAAAGAAAATTTTACATTTGAATAAAATTTTTTAAAGTTTTTGTTTATATTTAAAATCTCTGTTTTAAAGGAATAAAGGAATTTATGAAATATTTACACAAAACAGTTCGTTTTTATTCGGTCTAAGTTACCGAAATTATAAAAAATGGGGAGCAAAAATGGAGAAAGTTACGATTAAAAAACAAATATTGAAGTTATTGAATCGTATTCAAAAGTAATGTCGAAAAACTAATTCAAATTTAAAAATTCTTATATGTAATGTGGTTCAAGTTTCTGAAAATTTTGATCAGCAAATATAGAGTGAAAGTACAATAGAGATCATCAATACGTGGGTAATAATTACAGTTATATTTTAAGCACTTTTGCAACTTGCCAACAGTTGTAGATATGTATATACGTATCAAAATTACATACTTAAAATTTATGTATATTGGATTCTGCTAGTTTCATATTCTATAGGTATTGATAGTTTTCTCGAAATGTTAGAAAATTTTGAGTAATATTATTTCATTATGTGAAATAATTTTTTATTCTAAGGGAATTTCAAAGTAGTACATACCCAAGCTATTGTTTTTAATTCTTCTCTTTCATTCACGAACAATTGGCACAGTAGCCCTTATATTTCTGGAAATTAGACTTCCGCTTCATATCTAGAAAAAAATTAAAAAAAAGTGGTTTAATTATTTAAAATATTATAATGAATAATAAACTAATGATTTGTTTAAAGAAAAATTATTTTTAAAATTATTATTTACATTTTAACTCTGCTCTAAAAAAAACACTGATTCAAATGCTGAAAAATTATGATTGTTAGAAACGGACGATAGTATTTCTTATACAGGATTATTCAGCAACAATTATTCAGAGCTGCTTAAACTTTAGTTTAAGTCATTAGACGTTAAAAAATTTTTAATAGTACACTAGATATAGCCAAAAAACCACCCTGTCTAAAAATGATTAATAAATAATTAGAGTAAATTGAAGAAATTCCTAATTTTTAACATGTATAACAAATATTTAGAATAACGTAATACAGCCCTTATTTATATTATTATATTATAGTATCTGCAGTTAACTCGTAAGTGCACTCGTACTTAATTTATGCAAACAGAACTAAATTTTTAAGTATTATTTATATACAAACTATACATTCAAAATATTTTAATTTTTTAAATTCATTCTAAATACGTTCTAAAATAATGTTATTGGTGATTATTATAATTATTTTTTGTTTTCAATATAATTTACATCAATTTAAACAAATAAATAAATCACAATTATAATTTTATGTCTAATTTAATGCTCTTTTTGAATTAATTAAGAAAACCAGTGGATTTTAACAAAATCAAAGTGGTAAAATATGTATATAGGTACTTTAAATCTTTACAACAATTCAATAGTAAACAAACATATTCTATAACAACATTATTATGTACATATTATATTAACTATTATATTGTATTATGTAATGTAAATGAACAATATTTGATTTGAAAATTTACATAAATTCATTAACTATTTTAATTCAATTAAATTGGAAAATCTTTCTACAACCAATAAATCCTTTCATTGTTCATTTTTCATCTCAACCTACATTTTACTTTTGTTATATTAAATGTAAAATGTTCATATCTACGTACAATATGTAAAATTTATTATGATAATGTATGTAAAATATAGACATTTTAAAAGCTATATGCACATATCACTTCAAATGACTTCATATTACTAAGATTTTATATATTTATTAGTGTAAAATATGTAAGAATATATGTATATGAATGAATATGTACTTATTGTTTTGTGTATACAAATTTATTATATTCCAAAAGTATAATATTTACAAAACATTATTGCATAACGTAAATGCATGCCGATATAAAAGTGATGATTGGAATGCCCGATATTTTCTATTGAGTTTTTTCCTTTAAATTAAAATTCAAAAAGAAAAAAAACAATAATAAATATAATAAACATAATTGCTATCGTCTGATATCTTAATCTTAATGTAATATAAAAATTCAAGTCTTTAAGAGCTCCGGATTTTCTATGTTCATGATTTTTTTTCTTATTTTTGCTAACAAAAGGTTTATTAAAAAAAGAAAAAAGTTGATATAAATTAAGTTATTGAAAAACATTAAAGGTGTGAATTTTCAATTTTTTCCTTCTTATTCTCTTTTAGTAATTTGAATAGAAAAATTATATGTGTAGGTTGTTAGTGATTGATAAAGAAAACACCTATGTTAAAAAAATGCTTCTGTTATCATCGGTAATAATCGTTAAGTAATAATCAACATTGTAGAATCTCTGAATATTTAAAAATGCTGTGAATTTAAAATTTTTATATCATGAAAGTGTTTAGAAATGATTGCCTTAAGTATATCGCTATAAAAATATATAAGATAACAATATGTACATTTATAAAAATAATATTATGTTAAATATTAAAAATAGATTTTGAATGATACTCAGGAGTCCCCAGAGCTTACCCTGACCACGCTATATTTTGATTATTCCTTACTTCTTTTGATATTGATACAATTCTTGAACGAACTTGAATGTTTGCCTCATATTTTTTACAATCTGGCTGAAAACTTGTTAAGGCTTTAGCGTTGCATGACCAAATCAAATTTAATTTTTTTTTCAACCTTGGCAAGAGTTACATTGCAAAGATAGATGAGACGAACACGGCTAGCAAGCCACAATTTCGGTCCCATTTTAATATATAATACCAAATTAAGTGAGGTGACGGAAAAAAGTTAAACGAAAATTGAATTTAACAACAAGATAACAGTAAATTTTAGTTATTATATTAAGTAAGTATTCAAACGACATTTTCATAATCTTCTGCAATATTTTCGGTTAACCAGACAATATGCAACTTGCTGTCGGTTATGTGCTGATCAAATCAGATTCTTTTTCGTACATATTTAAATGTAAGTTATAAATATGTACTACCAAGGTGAAATTGAAAAATAATGGTTGGAACAGTTGGAATCCTCAAAAAAATCTCATAATATTCCCCACTTCCAGTCAGAACACATAAAACAATTCTTTAATAATTTGCATGCGATCTACTATACATTTACCTTAATTAATTTTACTAATTTTTATATACGCAAATATATACATATACATAAATTTAAAAATATATTTATATAATCATGTATAATATAAAAAATAGATGCAATACTGATATAACATTGCATTATATTAAATAAAATGTGAATAAGACCTTTTAAAAGTACACATATGTAAAAAAAAAAAAAAAATTGAACAAAGGGCACATATCTGATATTCTGATTTATGATTTCTAGAAAAGAAATTATTTTTCATGTACAATATTATGAATATAATGGTGCTGTATAGCTGGTATATCTAAATATTTTACCACATGCATGCAACAAATTTACCTATACGAGTATAGATATTAAAATATTTATACGAAACCATTATCAATAAAAAATATTTGAAAATTTTGATGTTGAATACGAATTTGTTTTTTTTTTTTAATACTGTAATAATAATGAAAAAGAAAGAAAAAAATTATTATTTTCTATTTTATGATAATATCAGTATGCATGTCATGAAAAGGCGTTAAAATCAGATCAGCAAGAATAAAAAGGTGTAAAACTGGAAAATTTATTTTAAAATAATATTTTTAATACATATATAAAGGTATGCAATCTATATTATATACATGGTACGTATGTACTTATGTATGCCCAACATGATAACGCTCTTATACAGTCTTACCATATTATAATACAATTATTTTTTAATATAACTTGTATGTATGAGTATATGAATTGAGCCACATTATAAATGTTAAATACTTTTTGATTATATTTAAGTATAAAATTTAAAAGATCTGAAAAAAAAACTGGATTGATTTTTCCGGCCTGAAAAATTTATCAGATTTCTTTTTTTTTAACAATATTATGAAATAACAATAATAATAATAAGAATAACCCAAAGTATTTTGTATTACTGAGTGTATAGACAATAATAGTGGAGGTAGGAAATAAATTCAATTTATTTAAGAAAATATGCTTGATTATATTTTTTCTTTTGTAAAGAATTATGAGCTTGGCGTAAGTTTTTCTCTACTTTTTTCACAATATCTTTTGTATAGATATAGGTATTGCTATTTTTACGAGTATTGAAAGAAATGATGCTGGTTGTTTATGCTAATATTCATTATGTACCGTAAACATTTTTATTTTCAATTTATTCTGTTTTTTTTTTTGATAATAATAGAAAATATCGTAGGCTTACTTTTAGTTCTTTAGTATTTTATTATTATTATGTAGAAAGATATGACACAAATTTCAAGTTCCCGTTTCGAAATTGCTTGTACTGTCTATGTACCTATACCTTAATACACACGGATACTTATTTACATTGTATAATATAATATTTACTTTGTATTTGCTTATATACGTTACTTTTTACCTATGTATGTATATGAATATACAAATACCAAGTAAATCTAGTTAAAATATTCAGAGAGAAATAATCCATTTCTCGTTTTGATGGTATACCATAACAGTTATTTTATGATTATTTTATAACTATACAATCTTATTTCGATTAAAGGTAAATAAAATATAGATACTCGTATAATAATCAGCCGTAAAAAAACAAATTTTTTTTTCGGCTGATTTTGATTTTAATATCAATATTGATTTAATTTTATTTTTTTAAGGGTTTTTTTTTTGCTTTCTTTCAAATATTTGTACAACAGCATACCTATAGATATTTTCAAATAATTAACACAAAAATGGTTATTCTGTTTGGATGCTTTTATCAAAAGCCTAGAAACTTTGTATTGCTAAAAAATTTAAAGCATTAATTACGACGTTTATGTAAATCCATTAATAATTTTAGATCAATTAATTTAGAGGCCATCCAAATCTTATCAAACAAAATTTATGAAAAATGTTTGATTTTAAAACACTGAATAAATCTAACGAGCTTGAATGAGAGCTATGGTAGATTTTAAGCAGTATTAAAGTTAAAATTACGCTAAGACATTATAAGGCGGATTTACATGACTTCAAAATAAAAATGCATAGTTAAAATGGGATAAGATAATTTCCAAGAATTCGGATTATTTCGGTTTAACAACATTTCGCAAATAATAATATTCAATTAGGATACTTAATTTATAAGGTGTTGTTTGACTTTATTAAAAAATTGCAACCTTTTCTTCATGTTCGATCCTTGTTTAGTCCAAAAAATCAATTATTTAACGAAAATTAAGCATAATTTTCTAATAAAGATTTCCATTTAGTTACTAATTAAACTACCTTTAGCTATTGTAACTTGTTCGAAAAGAAAATATTATAATTTTTTTAGTTTTTTTTTTTTTTAACATTAATTTAACTTTCTTATTCGTCATATTTTCTTTTTTGCGAAATTGGGTAAAATCTCCGATCAAATCTAACATTAAATTTTCATCGAATTTAAAACCAATCAAATAGTATTCACAAATTGAATTTTACATTTTGCGTCTGTCTTTACAGTGAGTGGCTGTAAGATCTTGTGAGTTAAGTTTTGCGCTTTTATTCCAATAATATCGTATGGAAATTTTCATATAACATGATCAGTTATTGGTAATTCACAGTGCGCTACTATACTTTGTTTC